GATCATATCCCCTACAGAAGACCATTCCTCGGTCAGGAGTCTGGAGGTAGAGGCTGGAGAGGTGACTTACGGGTTAAGAGGACTGGCTGTTTTTCCGGAGAACCCGGGCATGCAGCACACAAACATCTGTAATTCCAGAGGTTCCCAGCCCACAAACATCTGTAATTCCAGAGGTTCCGACACTTTTGCCCTCTGCTGGTACTGCATAGGTTACACAGACATACCTGTAAGCAAAATACCCATGTGCATAAAATAAAAATAAAGGTTAATATTTTATTTTATAAAAGAATTAGTACGGGGCTGGAGAGATGGCTCAGAGGTCTTCCAGAGGTCCTGAGTTCAATTCCCAACAGCCACATGGTGGCTCACAACCATCTGTAATGAGATCCAATGCACTGTTCTGGTGTGTCTGAAGAGAGTGGTAGTGTACTCACATATATAAAATAAATTAAAAAAAAAAAGAATTAGTACATAAGCACAGAGAAAGCTAGTTTTTGGTCCTCACTGAATTTATTATTTTTTTATTATATGGGCTAAATCCTTAGCGTCTCCGAAAAAAATGAGAAATTAAAAATAAGTTTATGGGCTACAGGTGTAGGTCAGCATTCACACCCGAAATGTGGTGCACACCCGAAATCTCAGCATTCCAGAAATGGAAGCAGGAGGCTTGAGAGTTTAGTGCTGTCCTCAGTTATAAAGCAAGTCTGAGACCATCCTGGGATGCGTAAGACGCTGTCTCAAAGATAATAATAATTTAAAAGATAGGACAGGGGGAGGTGGCTCTGTGGTTACTGCTTTTGCAGAGGATAGCTTTTCATCAACTCATTGATAAGTTATTTCTCCACAAGGGAAATGAGCCAATTCAAGCCAGATTAAATTATATTAAACACAGGTTTATTGGGAAGCAATCTCCAAGGACTGAGGTCAGAGGAGTTGCCATAGGAAGGGAGAGAAAGGGGAGGGGGAAGAGAAAGAGAGAAAGCACAGAGAAAGAAGAGGAGGAGGGGTGGGGCTAGGGAGACCAAAATGTCTGGATTATAGAGGGAAGAGCCTCTGGGGGAAGAGCAGCCTAGCCCCTGAGAAAGTTCAGGGGTGAGGGCAGAGTGTGCCAGGTAGGGACTGAGGGATGCTGGGAAAACCTGGAGGCCAGGTCTGCTTTGATGTGTAAAATACTCACTTCAGGTCCTGGGACCTGAAACCAAGCACTTATTGCAACTTCTTTAAATTTTTAAAGCTCGTTTATTTATTTATTTATTTATTTATTTATTTACAGATATTTATTTATTTATTTATTTATTTATTTATTTATTTATTTATTTTAGCAGTCCCCCAGATAAGCTAGCAAAAGTCCGGACTAGGTAGGAAGTCCTTTGCAACGCCATCTTACTGAACCCTCACTCCCCATCCCTGCAACCTGCTTTACCCTTCCCTGCAACAAGTGTAAATGCAGCGTGCTTCCTGGCAGCTGTGTTCCTCTGGCCTTGGAAGAGAATGGCACTGACATGGGTATCATTCAAGGAGCATAAAATACCATTGTCAACATTTACAAACTATTGCTTGCCCCACTTACGAGAGAAGAGGTTTCCTCTAGGGGCCAGGAAGGTTAGCATTTCTTCTAGGCTCTGCCCAACAGTTACCTAGCAACAGTCAGGTAACAGCGTGGCTCAAGTATAAAAAGATTGCTTGGCCTTCTTTCTCTCTCCCTCTTCCCCTCTCCTCTCCCCTCTCGGTCTGAAACTGCAGTTTCAGAGGATCTGACGCCCTCTTCTGGCCTCTTGTGGCACAAGACACGCATGTGGTGCATTATATATACATAAATTTAAAACATCCATGCATATAAAACAAAATAAATCTTTTTACAAATCAGGGAAAGGGAAACTGGAGAGAGGGCTCAGGGCAGAAGCCCACTTGACATGTAAGCATGAGACTCCGTGTCGACAAGATCATGAACACCAAAATGAAGACCAGCAAAGGACTCAGCTCACTGGGGAAGCAGAGATCAGCGTCTTTATTCTTCGCCATTTTATACTGTCACAGCTCTGGTCACAAAGTACAGTATGTAAGATACCAACCTGCTGTTTGCCCTTCCTTCCTTCCTTCCTTCCTTCCTTCCTTCCTTCCTTCCCTTCCCTTCCCTTCCCTTCCCTTCCCTTCCCTTCCCTTCCCATCCTCCTCCTGCTCCTCCTCTTCTTCATCTTCTTCTTCTGTTTGTTTTTCCAGAGAGGATTCTCTGTGTAACCCTGGCTGTCCTGGAACTCACTCTGTAGACCAGGCTGGCCTCGAACTCAGACCCGCCTGCCTCTGCCTCCCAAGTGCTGGGATTAAAGGCATGCGCCACCACCGCCCGGCTGTTTGTCATTTTTCTTACTGGATGAAGAGCAGCCTTTTCTATGTTACTGATCAAATCTCCACCCACCTGGCTTAGGCACAAGAGAAAGGTTAGTGTTGGCATGGTAGCTGACTGGAAAGAAAGCCTACATTATTGGAGGTCTGCATGCCTGGCTGGAGATAGATGATGGAGATACATCATTTTTGGCTCTTCCTTTCATGACCTGGGACTCTGTGTTGTTATGAGTGCCCCGGACCAGCTTCACAGCCTGGATTAATCAGCCAAAGAGAACCTTCTCTGGTCCACACTAAAATGTTTATGTTCTGTGTCCATCAGCACCAACCACAGCTTTAGGTAAAGCTGTGACCTAATATATTGCTGTTAGCATCCTTCTGATGACCTTATCATGGCTCTGGAAGGATATCTGTGGCAATATGTTCCAGAAGGAAACATATTAGGAACGTAAAGGAAACGTTTAGGTAAAGCAGGATTCAAGACCCTGGTGATTCAAAGGACATGCAGATCTGTTAATGATAATATTTAAAATGGTGGCACCCAAACTGGCTTGTTTTTATGGGGCCACCATGTTCCCGACTAGACAAGCCCTGAGGCCAAGAGCAGCAGTGTGCTCCCACCGATGCTCAACTCTGACCGCAGCTCATGCGGGTCAAAGGCACCAGCCCTGCCACCCACGAGACACCAGTGTGGGAGATAGCTTTGCCAATCTCCCATGCTGTCTCCACAATGCTTGGCTGAGCCCAGACCATCCTGCCATCCACGTGGTACCCGGTAGAGATGAGACTCTAATGCTTAAAGATTATCCAATAGCTTTATATAGTTGGTAATGCTCAATTAACAAGATGCCCACACAATTAGAGGTGTTTCCCAATATCTAACCTTAAATATAAATCGTTACCCTGGATGGACCCACGTGTGGTTCTCTACGGCTCCTACATCTCTTTCCCTCAAAACAGACAAAAACCCCTAAACCAAACCAACAACAAAACAAAACCCACAAAAGATCTTCACTCTGGATGCCATTAATGGTGGAGGTGAAATCTCCCAGCAAGAAGGAAGATATCTATCTGCAAATGTTCCAGCAACTGAGAGGAAGCAGAGATGGGTTGAGAAGACAGGGTCATTAAAGTGTCTTGGAGAGTGAAACTTAGAAACAGGCCAGGAGTAGAGAGCCCACCAGGCAGGGAAGAGTACCTTCAAGACACCAGAATACCAGGTCAGGAGTGGCAAGAACAGTGAAGACCCAGGGTACCCTCGGCTTGCTAACACATTGGTTGCTAGTAGCTGGGATCCGGGCTGGGTAGAGGGGGTGGGGACTCCTACTGGAGGTCCAGTGAACAGCACATCAGTGAGCTCTTTTTTTTTTTTCTTATTTCTTTTTTTTTTTTTTTTTTTAGAGACAGGTTCTCTGTATAGCCCTGGCTGTCCTGGAGCTCACTCTGTAGATCAGGCTGACCTCGAACTCAGAAATCCGCCTGCCTCTGCCTCCCAAGTGCTGGGATTAAAGGCGTGCGCCACCACCGCCCGGCGTCAGTGGGCTCTTAAATGCCAGGGTAAGCAATAGGGACCTCATTCATTAGGTTTTTAGGTGTGTGTGTGTGTGTGTGTGTGTGTGTGCGCGCGCTGTGGTGGTGGTGGTGGTACTTTGACAAAGAGTCTCACTATGTAGTCTAGGCCCAGCCTCTATGTTCTGAACTACAAGGACAGGTGCCCCAACACCCATGGGGTGTTTTTGAGCCTCGTGGATGATCCAGTCTTTTGTTTTGTTTTGTTTTCGAGATGATCCAGTCTTGGTTGACATTATAGGACTCTCCAGTCCGGCCCTCATCTCCTATGTAAGAGTGAATTCACTACCTCTCATCAGAGAGCTACACACTCCCTGTACTACTAATTGGCATTTCTTCCTTTAAGCATCTTGAGGCAGGGCTCCCTTTTCTTACCTCGGGCGGGTGCTATTCGAGCCTCCCGCACTTGCTGTGGCTCGGCCCCTCCCTTTTCTGAATTCTACTAGATAGTGAATTCTGTTAACTCTAGAGACAATATCTTGTTCATCAGTGCATCTCAAAAAACCAAGCACCGTTCACTCAAATGGAGGCGAGTAGGGGAAGGACGGTTGGGTTGTGGATGGACCCCAAGATCCCTCAGGTTCCTCCTTGTTCTCAGCTGAGTCTCCTGAGAACAATGGAAAATCTCAGGTGTCTCCAGGAACAGCTAGATGCGTCCTCGACAATCAGTTTCATATTTTCATAGGAAAAAAAAATGTCTACAGAAATGGAAAACACCCTCTCATCCCCAATCTCCCTGAGAACAAAGTGAAGCCGGGTATGTTTCCAGGCACGCCGGGAACTATCTGAGGACGGGTTAGGCGGAGGGTTACTTCCCAGTACTATAATCCTCCGCTCGAGGCGTGTCACTGCGGCTGCTGCTCCTCAGACACCAGGGGGCGCAATCTCACCGCATCCCGGGTCCTGGCCGATTTCACACCGCCCAAGAGTGTAGTCAGGAAATCTGGGAATTGTAGTCCTGGGAACGACAAGGAGCCACGTTGCGTCCTGGGACTTGTAGTAAACAGGCGATGCGTTTAAATTGGCAAGTTAAGTGAAAGAACTACTACTCCCAGAGGGCCACGGGCTCCTGGGCGGTGTCGGGTTTCCTCCGAGTGACCCTTCTCAGGTAGCTTTTGAATGATCAGCGTGACTGGGTAAGTTTGATTGACCGAAGCTCTAGTTCTTAACGGAGCTCTCCAAAGACCTTTTCATATTCCAGCGTGGGGGCTCTTTGTCTCTCAATCCCGGAATCTGCGCGCTAATCTTTGCTCTTCATCGTCTCTGTTTCCTATTCAGAGAAGTCCTGTCAGAATCCACCCCGCACCTAAGCCCTTCCAGGGTCATCGAGGACTGTCACTCCTTCACCTGAGATTCCTGCCCTGCCCTTGGCTCACGTCCTTGAAAGCAGGCAGCTTTGTGTCCTTCACGCTGTGCTCCACTCTTCGCTGTCTTGTTTTCCATAATGCTGGAAGAAGACACCCAAATTCTTCCCCACAGTGCTATGAACTTGAAGTGGAGCAAAGAACTCTGCCTCACTCTCCCTGACCTTGGGCCAATCATACAGGCTCTCTGGGACTCACTCCTTCCTTCCTCCTCCTCCTCCTCCTCCTCCTCTCCTCCTTCTCCTCCTCCCCCCTCCTCCTCCATCTTCCCCCTTTTCCTCTTCTTCCTCTTCCTCTTTTTTCTTTTCCTCCTTTTCTCCTCCTCCTCTTTCCCGTTTTCCTCCTCCTCCTCCTCCTCCTCCTCCTCCTCCTCCTCCTCCTCCTCCTCCTCTTTTATATCACAGTGTATGAAAGTACTTTGTAAACTGCAAAGCCTCCACAAGCAACAGGGGTTCTCTTGTTGCTGCCCTAGAACGTTCCCGTCAGGCAGCTCTTCTAGTTTTACCGCCTCATTGCTCAATCCCGTCCCTGGAGTTCTTCATGTCTTCATCTAAAACCAGGTTATTTCTTCACTTCCTCCAGAGTCCAAAGATCAGGTAGGCCTCAAGCCCATAGCCTGCAGAGAGCTTTGTCTGAAAGGAATCCCAAGAGGGGTGCTCGTCCTGGACTCTGGCCTGTGATGAGAAGTCCACGGGGTTGGCAGAGGGCCAGAGCTGCTCGCTGGAACAGGAGGCTAGCGCTCCAATGAACACCCTGTTCTTTCCCTTCGGGCTCTTTGGGGCCTCTTTAGTGGGCCTTGGTAGGTGTGTCTCAGGCATGAAAAGCCTGGGAGAGAAGAATTCGTTTTGCCAAAGGATCTATGCCAGAAATAATAGTTGGGTATGTTGTTGAAGGAGCAACAGGAGTGCTGGATAGTTGCTGAGGTTTTTATGCGTAATTACAATGTATCAGGCCTTAGGCTGTATCAGCTTTCTCCTTTAAGCTTCACTTATGAATGTTCCTGTTTTACATATATGAAAGTCAGACTTGGAGTGGTCATATAGTTCATTAACAGAATCAGTTAATAGCTGCCTTATGGAGTCGGAGTGTCTTCCATATGCCAGATATTTTACACACATGATCTTCAACCTCATGAATAGCTGTAAATGACAGGTTTAGAGTTTAAGGCATTTGTTGAAGGTCTCACTGCTGTGGCTGGCTAGATTGTCCAGTGGGTAAAGGTGCTGTCATGTCTGGTGACCTGAGCTCTATTCCAGGAGCCCACATGGTGGAAGGAGAGGACCAACTCCTGAAAGTTGTTTTCTGACCTCCACATGGGTGCCGTGGGACACCCTCCAATAAATAAATAAATTACATACATTGTATAATTATTATGATATATATATATATATATATATATATATATATATATATATATGGCAGAGATTGAATACAAAATCACCTAAACTTCTCTTTTCCCTCTATAGTATAGAGCCTTATTTTTTGATAAATATGATAGATTAAAAAATAATTGACTTGGGGGCGGGCCTAGAGAGATGGCTCAGCACTGAAGAGCACTGGCTGCTCTTCCAGAGGACCCAAGTTCAGTTCCCAGCACCCACGTGGCAGCTCACAACTGTCTGTCACTCCAATTCCAGGGGCTCTGTCACCTTCACACACGTTCATGCAGACAAAACACCAATGCACATTAAAAAAAGGAACTGAGCTGGATAGTGTGGCACATACCTACAATCCTAGCACTTGTGAGGTGGACAAGGAGATCTTGAGTTAGAGGCCTGCTTGGGCTACACAGAGAGACCCTATCTTAGAACGACCAAGGAGAAGAATCAGGGGATTTTAAAATCAAAGCCAAAAGAAGACAAGTCCCTGCTGCTTGTGGTCCCTGCTGCCTGTGGAAAGCACATGATAGGTAGTTTGCCCTACTGGTTAAAGCATGCTCTTTACACCCTGGGGTTCACGTGATGAGGAAAAGCACAAGCGTGCAAAAAATTATTAAATAGCACTCGTTGAGGAAAGCCCTTTTTAAAAGCATGTGTTTATTCTGCATGTGACTGGGTACCTGAGTTCCATGGTAAATGATTGGAGGTCAGGGGCAACTTAGGGTGTGGGGACAGATTTCCTCTCTTCTTAATGTCATTTCTGGTAATTGAACACAGAACACCAGGCTTAGAGGCAAGCTTCTTTGCCTGCTGAGCCATCTTGCCTATATTTGCCAGTGTGTTTCTGGGTGGCCATGGCTGTTTTCCCAGTGAGAAGATAGTGAAGTCCACAGGGTACACTCAGTGTTTGGTTCATGTGTGCAAGCATGTCTGAATGAAAGAAAAGACCCTCCATCTGTGAAAGAACTCTTCAGAGATTCTCAAATTCTGCTGGTCAGAAACACCTAGGACTTAATAAAAAAATAATAATAACTTGGAGTTGGAGCCGGGCGGTGGTGGCGCACGCCTTTAATCCCAGCACTCGGGAGGCAGAGGCAGGTGGATCTCTGAGTTCGAGGCCAGCCTGGTCTACAAAGTGAGTTCCAGGACAGCCAGGACTACACAGAGAAACCCTGTCTTGAAAAACCAAAAAAAAAAAAAAAAAAAAAAACCAACCAACCAAACAACAACAACAAAAATAAAATAACTTGGAGTTGGGATTGTAGCTCTGTGGTAAGGTACTTGCCCGTATGGGAAAGGCTCTGGGTTCTAGCCCAAGCCCCTAAAAAGTTAACAAAAGAAAGAAAGGAAGGAAGGAAGATAGCAAGCATTGATTTCCCTGCAGATGAAAGAAATACACTGTTAGAGATTGCAGTGCAATTGGGTCGTGGGTTCAGAAACCTCTGACGTAGATTTCACATGGATTTACTGGGAGAAGCAAGTCACTGAGGCGGCCAGCCTAGATACTACAGGTCCAGCCACCTGAGCAGTCTGTGCCGGGAGTCCAGCTAAGGGGACAGGGGCTATGCTTAGACCTGAGAGGAGGGAAGGCAGGGGTTTAGGAACTTGTTGCAGTGAACTAGGAGGTCTCATTGGGCCTGGATGAGAGAGAGATTCTGGGCAGGTACTGCCATGAACTGTGGAGCGAGGGCAAGCAGTGGAACACAGCTGACCGACTCCCCTGGAAAACCTCATGGCATTTATGAGAAACAAGGCTGGGTGTCTCTTCTTTGTAGTTTGCAAGCAAGATTGACTTTTACCTCTCTTTCCATCCACCTTGGGCTCAGTCAGCGAGAGTCTGGGGAACTCAGGCTGTCTTCAGGCTAGCCTCAGTCTGGCCAGCTGTCTTCTTTAGGTTTTTTTTTTTTTTTCCCCTAAGCAGAATTTAGCTGATGGCCCCTCTCAGAAGCCTGCTAGGATCACCAGAGTCCTATGCATCTCATCTCCATGACTCTTTTGAAATATACTTCCCTGATGCCTGACCCAAAATCCTGGTCACAAAAATCCTCCACCCTGCCTCACCTTTGCCTGTCCTTCTTTCTTTCCCGTCCCAAATTGACACAGTTGCCAAACTCTATTGTTCCTGCTTTTCTCGAGATCACCAAATGCATCTAGATACTTGTTCAAGCCAGGTACTATGCAAGGCACTTTAATTGCATGGTTTCATTTATCTCCATAGCAACCACAAGGCTGACACAAATCCCCCTTTGTGGATGCAGAACCAGGCTTAGAGAGATCACGTTAACTTGCCTAAGCTAGTTAGCAAAGCAGCTGGATCTCAGGCTTGGGTCTTTCATGGTGGGATGGCTTAGTTGCTAAGGTGCTGGTCTCACAGATATTCAGATCCTTAGGGCTCATGTTAGAAAGAAAAAGAAAGAAAGAAAGAAAGAAAGAAAGAAAGAAAGAAAGAAAGAAAGAAAGAAAGAAAGAAAGAAAGAAGAAAAGCTGGGTGTGGTCACACATGCCTTTAACACCACCCCCAGGAGACACAGGCAGGTGGATCTCTGAGTTCAAGGTTAGCCTGCTGTACACTGCAAGTTCCAAGACAACAGCCTGGGTTACTTAAAGAGACCTTGTACAAAAAAAAAAAAACAAAACAAAACGTAATCCAGAGTCCAGTGAGATGGCTCAGCGAATAGAGACACTTGCCACTAAACATGTTTGGTCTCTGGGACCCTCAAGATAGGAGAGAAGGACTCCCTCAGGTTACCCTATGACACACAGAAGCACATTGTGGGTGTTATGCATTTCCACACATTAAATAAACAAATGTAATTAATTCAAGAAAAAAGCCTGACTTGATGGCATGCTATAATCTCAATGACGGGCAACGAGAGTCCGACGGGTAGGTCCCTGGAAGCCCATGTGGTCAAGCTCCATGTTAACGGGAGACCTTGTCTCAAACAAAAGGGTTGGAAGCACGTGAGAACCAACAGGGGAGCTTGGCCTCCGCATGCACATGGTTACGCTTACCCACGGGAACGCGTGGGAGCTTGCGCGCGTGCACGCGCCTTGTTCTCCCTCTGCAGCCAACACCTACTGCCCCCGTGTCTCTCACGTCCTTTCCTAAATTTCTTTCCTGTCTTCCCCTGCTCTCGGCTCCCACGCTCAGGGGCCTCTCTCTCTCCTCAGAACTCCAGTGGCATTTTATCTCTCTTTATGACAGAAGCTGCAGCTGCTTCGCTGTCGTGTGATCCACTTGTGTCCCACAGCTGCAGTCTTGGTTCTCCAGTGTGAGCACCCAGCCCCCCGGGGGGGGGGGGCGAGGGGAGACCGGCAGAGGCTCCTCCCCTTTCCCCACTGGCTGCGCGGTTCCCAGCCTGCAACAGAACTTAGCTCCTCCTCCTCTTCCTCCTTTTTGTAATGGGTGCCTTAAAATTTGCACTGGAAGAACAAAAGAGGAAAAGGAATAGTAGAAAGAAAATTATCATTGCCTCCTAACATTAAGTAGAGTGACTCTTTTGGGTTCTTGGAGGATTTCCTCTGGACCAGATGATTAGCAGGAAGGTGTGTGTGCGTGTGCGTGCATGTGTGTGTGTGTGTGTAGTAACAGCTGTGACCTTGAGCAGCTCACCGAGTCTCTCAGGATTGTGACTTCTTCAGTAATGTACATGTATGTTCCGAGGCAGGGAGAAGGGGTGATGGCAGGGACCCTTGGTAGCAACCATCTCCAGAGTCTCTTTTTGCCCAGGCATGCTCTGACTTGCACACTGATCCCACAGGACGAATCAGAATATACAAACAAACCACGGGGGGCCCAAGACCCCGCCCATGCAGGTGGTTTTGGCTGTAAGGAATAGGAATCTAACTTGCTTTAAGGGGGGTGGGTTATAAGTTAGACCTCACAGCCAGGGTAACTCTCTCTGCCTTGCTTCTAGAGTCTGTAAAATTGGTCCAGCTACCTCCCTTCTCAGAGAACTGTTGAGAGGGTTAGATGAAGCAGTGTCTATAAGGAGCTTAGTACAGTGCCAGCTGAGGAAGAGCTGGACCTCAGTGGGCGTTAGTAGCCAGGAAAGGGCAACATCTGGGCTGTGGTCACTACAGCAGATATTGTTGGATGGATACACGGTGGGTGCAGTGTCAGTATGTGTTAATCCTGAGACAGGGTCTCATGCATCGCATGAACTCCTAACCCTCCAGACACCACCTCCTCAGTGCTGGGGTTACAGGTGTGTATTGCCACAGCTGTTTTCTGCAATTCTAGGAATCGAACCCAGGGCTACTTGTATGCTAGGACTGAACCACACCCTTGTGGTTTGTAGGTTTTGAGGGATCTGAGGACTAGCTCTTCACCACCATCTCCTCACCCCACCAGAAGGAAATGAAGACTACAGCCTGTGGGGCTGGGAATGGGAGTGGTTGCTAGCATGTGTAAGGCCCTTGGTTTCCACCAACCTTTGCAGAAACACAACCGAAAGACCAGCCTGTAAGCCTTGGCAAAGTAGCAAGCGTAAATAATGCCTGTGATTTAGTGAGTAGCTGGCAGGAAGGTCTGTTGGGGCAATAAGGATGTCAGGAATTGGACAGGGTTGGCATATGACCTAGAGAAGCAACAAGCGAGGAAGAGACCAACAAGAGGCTAGTCTGTGTTCTGCCTTCCAGCCAGCACATTCTGGAACATCCGGCTTTGGTCCAGCTGGTGATGAGATGGGGGCCGGCCAGTCTATATGCTTCCCACCCATCTCGGGACCCCACCACATTGGCTGCACAGATGTGATGGAGGGTCACAGTCTTGAGGTAAGTGTCCCAAGCTCTGTCCCTGTTCTACTCCACTGTGGGGACTTCACCACCACAGGTCCAAGTTTGTAAGTTCTGGGGCGCTAAGTTACAGCTGGGCTGGATTTGGTCATCACCCTTAGGCCTGTCTTCCTGACGTTTTTTTTTAAATTCCTCACTCAAACTATTAGAACCTCCCCAGATGACAGAGCAACTGAGTTCTTTCTCCAGCAAGGAAGAGAGGTGCCTCTGGCTTCAGAGGTAGCTCACAGGCCCTTTCTCCTGTTTTCAGTCCAGGCATCTGATCCTGGAAAGGTTTTTTGATGCCATCCTGATGTAAGGGAATGAGAGGAAGCTCAGTGGGCCACAGGCCACTGTCCTGACTCTACGGCTTGAGTGGGAAGGTGGGATCTTCGTCTTTAGCCTCCCATTCGCTTCTTATTCCTGCCAATTTCTAGGCTTTTCTTTTTCTTTGTTTCCTCTTCCTCCTCTTCCTCCATTTTAACAGTTTTGAGGTTTCTCATGTAGCTCAGGCTGCCACCACCTGGAATGTAGCCAAGAATGACAATAAGCCCACAATTGTCCCATCTCCAGGACTCCAGGCATGTGCCACCATGACCCAGCAAGTTCCTTAGATTTTTGTTCCTGATGGTTGGCCTCACCTCTGTTCTGCAAAAGAGACACCCACTTCCTGGTAACACCTCTCTGATTCTCTCTCCTGACTAAGCATACTGCTGCCACCGTGTTCATCCTAAGAGCAAAGATCTAGTTTCTTCCGTTCGCGCCAAGCCTAGGTCCACAGTATGATGCCATTCCAGGATGTAATTGGACATGCAGCTTGACAGTCGGAAGAGCATGAACCTTCTGATGTGCGAGCAACAGAATTGCTTCTGTTTCTCTGTGCTGGTGTCCAGCCTGGCTGGTACCCAGACTCCTGCTGGCCCGAAAGGCCTAAGCTTCTTGGTCCCAGCAGCTGCTCCTTTCTTTTCTCCAGGGGAGCCTCTTCCGACTCTTCTACCCATGCCAAGCATCAGAGAAGTGCGAAGAGCCCCTGTGGATTCCCCGCTATGAGTACTGCATGGGTCTGGCTGACTACTTGAAGTATAACAAGCGCTGGGTGGGGTTGCTGTTCAACGTGGGTATCGGTAAGGCTGGCCTGGCCCTGGCTGCTTCCCCAGTCGCCTGGTTATGTCCCCAGGAGAAACCCAGGGAGACACAGTAATTCTTTAGCTTGTTCAGTCCGGTCCTTAGTTTGGAGATATGGGAGAGAGTCGAATGCGTGAGAATCTGGGTCATCGGTTCAAATCCAGACTTTGTAATTTCCTGGCAGTGGGACTTGGGAGGGTCACTTACCTGGCTTGTCTGCCAGCTTTTGTAAAGCTGTGTGCCAGGTACGTGTAGAACTAGAACCTCTTGTGTGGTGTTTGTGACCTCAGATGGGACACGGTGCTGGCTGTGGTCCCTAAATCCAGCATGTATTCTTATCCACTCGGGAGACCACCCCCTTTTCCAGTACTAGGGAGCAAATCCAGGGCCTCATACTAGCTAGGTCAGAGCTCTGCCACCTATCACTGAACTACACCCCATCAGCCATACTCCGCTGCTTGCTCCAGCAGCTGTATCAGACACTCTTGGCTTCCAGGGAGCGTCCACTCTCCTGCAGCATGCCCGCTGGTCTTGTTCTCCCAATCCCCTCCCAAAGCCCTACCCCAGGAGTTCCCCATGGCCTTGGCATTTCACAGATCTGCCCCAGATTTCTTCAGTGCTGCCCCTTTGGGTCTTTTTTTCCCTGGTGATTCTGGAGAGGGGAGGACCACATATACCCACCCCTGCCTTTCTCAGGCTGCCTGTGGGATTCGTTATGGGCAGCCAGAGAGTCTACAGCCTGTGTCTCTGGCAGGATCTTGTCGCTTGCCTGTTAACTGGAACGGCCCCTTTAAGACAAAGGATTCTGGATACCCTTTGATCATCTTGTCCCATGGCCTAGGAGGCTTCAGGTAAGAGCTTTGTCCCTGGACCTTTCCTGTCCCTTGCATCATGACCATGTTTTAATGTAGTCTCAAAGGGCTAAATAACAGACATTTATCTGCCTGTCATCTTAATCTCACTGTGCTCCTGGACAGAGCACTGGGTCCTCCTTCCCTAGACCAGGGCTTCGTGAGGTCTCTCACTTGTGACTTGCTTTTGCTTGTCATTTTTGCATGCCTGCCCACTATCTAAGTGTATAAAATAGGAATACGGGTCCACCACTCATTGGTAAGAAATCACAACGAGATAGATTTTTAGGACTCTAAATGATTTGGAATGCATATCATCTTACTACTCATTAAAACCAAAGGAAATTTGCATGCTAACCAGCTGGGTGTGTTATTTTTGTATAAAGAATTGACTCTAAGCTGAGCCTTTGATATCGTAAGACCTAGAGTATCTTTTCACAATAGATTGATTTTTATAATCTTCAATGCTGAGAATTCTGCTTTGCATAAACAGGTAGCACAAAAACAGCAGGAGTAAATTCTGTCTTCATCTCAAGCCAAGATCCATTTAACACTGTGTGTGTGTGTGTGTGTGTGTGTGTGTGTGTGTGTGTGAAACTCAGTTTAGCAACCCAGACAGTCTTTTTTTTAAAGATTTATTTTTGTTCTTTTTAATTATGTGTGTTACGCGTGTGTGCGTGGGTATGTGCATGTGGGGGTAGGTGCTCACGGAGGCCAAAGGTGTCAGATCTGAGGCTGAAGTTACAGATGGCTGTGAGCCACTATGTGATGCTGGGAATCGAACTCTGGACCTCTGTAAGAGCAGCCTGTGCTCTTAACCACTGAGCAGTCTCTCCAGCTTCCTCAGGTGCCAGTCTTTAAAGATACAACATTCTGGGCTGGAGAGATGGCTCAGCGGTTAAGAGCACTGACTGCTCTTCCAGAGGTCCTGAGTTCAAATCCCAACAACCACATGGTGGCTCACAGCCATCTATAATGGGATCTGATGCCCTCTTCTGGTGTATCTGAAGACAGTTACAGTGCACTCATATACATTCAAAAAATAACATTTAAAAAAAAAGATACAACATAGCCGGGCAGTGGTGGCACATGCCTTTAATCCCAGCACTTGGGAGGCAGAGGCAGGCGGATTTCTGAGTTTGAGGCCAGCCTGGTCTACAGAGTGAGTTCCAGGACAGCCAGGACTACACAGCGAAACCCTGTCTCGAAAAAAACAAACAAACAAACAAAAAAAGATACAACATTCTAATACAATACAAAACACAAACAGACTGACTTGATGCTTACACGGTAGGAAAACAGGACAAGCCACTGCTGTCTTTAAGTAGGCCATTGTATTTTCTTATTTAAGCTCGGAGATCTGTGTCAGTACAGTAGGAACACTGCAGTTTGTGACGTTCAGTAGAGTCAGATCTGCGGGCAGGTGTTTCAGACAGCCTCTTTGACAGAGTACGGCATGAAGGTATGCAGAGTGTGCAGTGCACATGTGCATGCAGAACCCAAGGCTGCAGAGAAGTTTCCAGACGCAGCTTTGGCCAAGCACTGTGAGAAACAGCTTGGCTTTACCTCAGCTTTGATTTTCAGTTAATTATTTTTGGCCGACTGGGGATGTGCTAGCCTGCACATGTGGCCTGACCTACCTATGGCCTTTACGTCCTAAGTGGGCTAGGAACATGGCCACTCTCTGAGCCTAGATTTCAACACCTGCAGGCTGAGGGACGTGTGGGTTTGAGGTTTCCATTGGATCGGTCGGTGCCCACTGGAGATGCACAGCCCTGCCACGTCTCTCCGTGTTATGTGGAGGGATATGGTGATGGCAAATTAGATAATCTCTTTCACCAGTTGGGCAACTGGCTTCAATTTCATAATTCAGTATCTAGGCAGGATTGCTCCCAGGACTTGTTCTGTATGTTATAGCTATCTGTAACTTCAGCTCCACGTCTGACACCATGGGGTGTTATTTAGCTTATGACAGCACCTGTGCGTGCTCTCTTACGTTTGTTAGTGCTTGCTCTGGTCATCCGTGAATATATATGTCTGGCTTATATCCCAGAGTGCCACACAGCTCAGAAGCTGCCAACACTCCAACTTTTGTTCAGGCTATAGCCAAGGACACCACTTTTAAAGCTGGCAGTGTGTAGTGGTTCATGTCAGTCATTCTGGAAGGCAGAAGCTGGAGGGTCATGAGTTTAGGCCAGTGTGTGTTGTGTGGTGATACCTTGTCTCAAAACAAAACAAAACAACCACAAGCCTAAATCCCATTTTGATAGTTCAGTACCTTGGAGTTTGCTTGCTTGTTTCCTTCCTTCCTTCCTTCCTTCCTTCCTTCCTTCCTTCCTTCCTTCCTTCCTTCCTTCCCTCCTTCCTTACCCCCTTTCCCCCCCCTTCCCTCTCTCTTCTGTCCCTCCCCCTTCCCTCCCTCTCTCCCTCCCTCCCTCTCTCCCTCCCTCCCTTCCTCCCTCCCTCCCTCTCCCTTCCTTTCCTCTCTCCTTTCAGTGTCAGATCCCTTGGGACTGGAGTAACAGATGGTTGTGAGCCACCGTGTGGATGCTGGGAATCAGACTTGGGTCTCCTGGAAGAACAGATAGTTCTCCTAATCACTGAGCCATCTCCTCAGCCCACTAAATGAAACATTTTCATAGGGTTTTTGTTGTTGTTGTTTTGTTTGTTTGTTTGTTTGTTTGTTTGTTTTGAGACAGGGTTTCTCTGTGTAGCCCTGGCTGTCCTGGAACTCACTCTGTAGACCAGGCTAGCCTCGAACTCTGGAACTCAGAAATCCACCTGCCTCTGCCTCCCAAGTGCTGGGATTAAAGGCTTGTGTCACCACTGCCTGGTGACAGTGTGTTTTAAAGATGATTTATTCTAATTTTAATTATGTGTATGTGTTGTGTTTGCATGTGCATATGCATGTGTGTGTATCGTGTGTGTATTGTTCATATGTATGTGTATGTATGTTTGTATATGTGCGTATGTATGTATGTGTATGTGGTGTGTGCATGTATGTATATGTGTGTATGTATGTTTGTATGTGGTGTGTGTGTGTGTATGTGTGTACATGTGGGGTGTGTGTGTGCACATGTGTATACATGAACATAGGTCCCTGAAGAAGGTTGAAGAGCATCGGATCCCCTGGAGCTGGAGTTACAGGTGGTTGTGAGCCTCCCAGTGTGGTTCCTGGGAACTGAATGTGGGTCCTCTGTAAGAGCAGTACTTTATCAGTGCTTTGGTCACATGTATGATTGTGTTCCGGTGTCTGTCTTCCCTGCTAGACTGTAACCTCAGTGACGACAGACACCACTCCAGTCTTCTCTGCCCCAGTGCCTAGGACAGTGTCTCAAAGTCATAGTTTCCCGGTAGTTTCTCATCCCCGAAAAACACAGGGCTGTTTTGCTGGATTCTCGTTCATTCAGCCAACTTCTGGAAGCACCTTTTGTATGCTGACCCCTGGCACTAAAGGAAAGTGGGAAATCTGGCCGCACACACATCCAGAAGCTGCTCACCTTAGGAGTCGGTATACAGGCAAGCATGACTAGTGGAGGCTGGAAGTGGAGACTAGGTTTGGAGATGAGGCTGGTGAGGCAAGTGAGCGATTTCTCTGCTGGTTTCTTTTGAGGTAAACCGAGTAGAAGGGTTCCTGCCTTCAGAGCCTGTGTTTGCTTGCATGTGCACACGTGCCTGTGAGCATGTGTGCATGTGTGCAAATGTGTTAGTTAGCCTACCAGAAGGAAGCTAGGAAGCACTCCCTCGCCACCCATAGCTCTGCTGGAGAGAGCCGTGGCACTGCCATGCCATTCCTCAGTGAGCCGGTAGGAACTTCTTTCAGTAACCAGGAGTGAAATTCCACGAGAAAGGGCAGGAGGGGAGTGGTAGCCAAAGGTCAGTCCGTCTTTAGTTTCTCTGGCTAATTTCACCTTGAAATCCTTCCCTGGTTTACAGATGAGTGTCTTCCCATCCTAGGAGGAGCATGTGCATGTAGACACCACCTCACTGGCTTCCAGAGTGCCACTATTCCCTGTGCTCCCCACATAGCCCTCTGAAGTAGGCAGATAGGAGCCACTGGGCCCTGAGCAGCAGGCAGCGACGTGTCTACTTTACACAGTATACCCTGAAGGGATCCAGAACCGCTCATCCTGTTCACCACCTCTCTGGAAACACGGGAGACATAGAAAAGAGATGTTACAAACCGACTTTCCTGTATAAGTTAGAAAAGTGTTTAACAGAAAGCCCCAAACATTGGCTTCTAACACATGATCAGATTCCTTCCTTGCCTGGGTCTTGGTGCATGCCTATACTCACAGCCCCTGGAGGCCCAAACGAGAGAATGCTGACTGTGAATATGGCCTAGACTGCAAAAGAAGAAAACACCACCAACCACCAAACAAAATGCTTGTATTTCTCTCTCAGTTAAAGCGAGCTATAAGGGCTGGGTATGATGGCACCTGCCTTAGCCCAAGCACTGAGAAAGTAGAAGGAGGAAGACCTGGAGTTCATGGGCATCTTCTGCCAAGTAGTGAGTTTGAGGCTAGCCTGAACTACAGAAAACTCTGCAGCAAAACAAGAAATGAGGGTGGGAGCCAGGGATAGACTGTTAGGGTTGCTTTTGTAGTTATATGAATGGAACAGGCAACCGGACCTTAAAGTTACCTCCTGACCTAGGATGGCTGCTTTTGTTCCAGTCCTTATGTCTGCATCTCATTCGTTAGAACTGTTTGCTCCAGTCTAGGCTGCCAGCTCTGTGTGACTCTTAAAAGGCTTAGAATATTGTCAGTCAACGTCGAGCCATGAGTCAGGTGTAAAATATACACCAGAGAGTCCAAAGACTACCCAGGAGTAAAGAGAACAATAATGTTTCATTAATTAAAATTTTAATTATATTTTAAAATTACTTTGGGTTATATAGGTTACAATAGGTTAAATAAGGCATAGTAGCTATAATAGGCTGTTATAGCTTAAGTAAAATATAGCAGTCATATCAGTAATGTTAATATGCTTTTTCTTACCTTTTAAGAAAATATTAAGAATAGTTTTTTAGTTGTGTGTCTGCATGGGTGTATGTGCACATGTGTGCAAGTGCCCACTGAGGCCAGAAGAGGGCACCAGATCCCTTAGAACTGGAGTTCTAGGCAGTTGGAGCAGCAAGTGCTCTAACAGCTGAGCGATTGCTTCAGCTCTGTTTCTTACTGGTTTTGAGAGAAGAACTTGATGCATAGACAAGGCTGGCCCTGAAGTCCTGATCCCACTTTCATGTCCCAAGTGTTAGGATAACACGTGTGGACTAGCATGCCTGGTCTGCCTGCCTGCCTGGTCTGCCTGCCTGCCTGGTCTGCCTGGTCTGCCTGCCTGCCTGGTCTGCCTGCCTGCCTGCCTGCCTGGTCTGCCTGGTCTGCCTGCCTTCCTTCCTTCCTTCCTTCCTTTTTTTTTTTTTTTTTTTTTGACAGGAACTCATGTAGCCCAGGCTAGCTTTATACTTACTATGTGACTAAGGATAGCTTGGAACCCCTGATATTTCTGCTTCTGTCTTCCAAGTTCTGGGATTATAATTACATGCTACCACAGCTGGCTAAAAAACCCCTTTGCTTTGTTTTTGACCCCAGTGGGGATTGAACTCATTGCCTTGTGCGTGCCATAGGCAGGTAGGTGTTCTACCACTGAGCTACAGCTCCTTCCTGTGTGTGTGTGCTCGTGTGTGTGTGCCTGCATGTGTGTGTGTGTGTAGGTGTTTTTCTTGCATATATATCTGTATATCACATGCATACAATGCCTGTGGAAGGCAGAACAGGGTACGGGATCCCCTGCAACTACAGTTACTCACAGTTGTGAGCCACTGTGTGGGTGCTACAAGTCAAGCCTGGGCCCTCCAGAAGAGCAGCCAGTGCTTTTAACTGCTGAACCAGCTCTCCAGCTACCTCAATGTCCCTTTTCAACTTAAAAAAAAAAAAAAAAACACAACTACTTGAAAACTTCAAATTACTTTGATTGGTATGTATGTGTATTTAAATTTTATCATTATCATATGTGGTACATGTGGACTCATTTGTGGAAGGCAGAAAATAACTTTGCCAAGTAAATTTTCTCCTTCCACCGAGTATGTGCATTCTGGCGATCAAATTCAGGTTGCTAGGCTGGTGAGGCTAGCGCCTCTACAGATGAGCCATCTTGCCAGCCCCTGTGTGGTTTTAAAACATATCATGCTGAGCGTTGGTTGGCATATGGTGAGTTCAAGGCCAGCCTGGACTACAATCATTGAGTCCCAGGCCAACCAGGGTTATGTACTGAGACCCTGCTCAGGGGACTAAGTGCTTAGTATTCAAGCATAAGATTGACTTGAGTTTAACTGGCAAAGCCCTTGTAAAATCTGGCTATGGCCACACACGCCTGTAATCCCAATTCAGGAGAGGATGAGTCAGGAAGGTCCCTGGATCTCTCTGGCCAGCCAGTCTCACAGAATTGATGTACTCCAGGTTCAGTGAGAATCCCTGTCTCGAGAATAGTAATGAGAAGAGGCCAGATGGTGGTGGTGTCTCTTTACTCCCAGAAATTGGGAGGCAGAGACAGGTGGAGCTCTGTGAGTTCGAGGCCAGCCTGGTCTACAAATTGAGTCCAGGACAGCCAGGGCTACACAGAGAAACCCTCTCTCGAAAAACAAAACAACAACAACAATAATAGTGAAAATAAGAAGAAAGCAGAAAATGAAAAAGACACCTGACAGTAGCGTGTACACACACACACACAAACACACACACACACACACACACATGCATTAGAATAGTCAGATTGTCTGGGTTGGGGTGCGCTAGTACAGTGCAGTGGCGAGGCTCAGTTTGAAGCCTGTCTTGTAAACACACTGTGGAGGACGTCAGATCCCCGCTGGGACCAGAGCAGCACTACCTGGGGAAGGTACTTGGGGAGGGCCACCCATGATGCCTACCTAGCCAGTGTTTTGAGGTGGCCACTACCGGAGTGTGGATGACACTGGGCCATGTATTTGACCTATGCTCCTTGTGACTCTCCAGGGCGGTATACTCGGCCTTCTGCATGGAGCTGGCCTCCCGTGGCTTTGTGGTTGCTGCTGTGGAGCACAGGTGAGAGCCGGAACCCATGAGCCGTGCAGTTGGCTACCTGTGCTGAGCTAGGTATAAGCTAGTTGCCTATCAACGTGTTTTTTCTTTCTTTCTTTTTTTGTTTTGTTTTGTTTAGTTCATCATGCCCGAGCTTCAGACCCACACACTAGGCAAGCGCTCTATTGCTGAGCTACATCCCTAGACCGATGTATTATTACTAATGACCATGCAAAACCGTTATTATACCCATTTAAAAGGGTAGAACAACAAGGCTCAAAGATGTCCATTAGCTGCCTGAAGGTGACACAGCTGACTCTGGGCTCAAACGCAGGCTGTCCCTGATCCATGTTTACTCTGTTCTCCCTTGTGCGCCCCTGATCTTACTTTCTTACCAGCCAAGTGGAGAGCCCATGTGTCATGGAAGGGAGGCATGGGTACAGGAGAGAAATACCCTCACCATTGTCTTCTTTTTTCCTCTCCGATGGCATGCACGTGGTTCAGGGACCAGTCAGCTTCGGCCACCTACATCTGTAAGCAGACCTCACAAGAGAGCTCGCCCACTGAGTCTCTGGAGGAGGAATGGATCCCCTTCCGGCACATCAAGGAAGGGGAGAAGGAATTCCATTTGAGGAATCCCCAGGTAGGCTGGTGCCAGGTGGCATAGTCACACACTGCAGAGCAGAGATTTTAGCTCTTAGCTCTGGGGATTGCAAGCCAAGGTCAGGCGGACCTATTGCTTTAGGCCTCTGGTCCCGGATGATGTGTGTGTGGGGGAGCTGTTAGCATCCCATAATCCCTTTTCAGGGCAGTTCTTCAATAACTTAAAGACTCCCCACTGGGTCCCACCCTCTAAAGACTCCATCTTCCAATAACAACCTCATGGGGACCAGTTCATTCCTGTCTCTGCCAGCTGCAGGTTGGCTTACTTTCTGAGCCCCTGCCAGCCCTGCCTTTGCAGATTTTTGGCTCATTAGCAGAGAACAAGGCTCCCGGTGTTGTTCCCCAGTCCTCCATCCCAGATCGAAGTTCACGTTGAAAAATCCTAGTAAAGGATTCCTAGCCTGGGGAGGAATTGAACATTCCCACTAAGAAATCCATTGTCAGATTGTTAGGGGAGGGGCAGGGTAGAGGCCAGTGGGAGAAGAGGAGGCAGACAAAGCAGACAGCCTGTGTTTTAAATGGGCAAGGTGAACCAAACCAGCCTGAGGACAAGTACACTCTCCATTCCTTCGGGTGGAAAATTCTCTCATGTACATCCTCTCATCTGGCTTTCCTTGGGGCCTGGCGGGTAGATACATCGTAGAATCTGAATTCTTGGGTCCACTCACTATGCTGTCCTGAGAACCCATGATCTGGGAGAGGCCTGCAGTGTTTGCTGAGACACAGTGGGCAGACTCCCTCTCCCACTGCATTCAGCCTGGGCTCCTGGGGCGGGAGGGGAGCGGGGAGGGTGCTGAAGTCCTCACTGTGCGGTTGTAGGACGCTCCTGCAGACTGGCTCTGTTGCAGGTGCACCAGCGGGTGAGAGAGTGTATGCGCGTGCTGCAGATCCTTCAGGACGCCTCTGTGGGGAAGACTGTTGTCAATGTCTTTCCAGGAGGACTGGATCTGACGACCTTGAAGGTAATACAATGGTTGGGATGACCCAGAGCTACGCATTCCTCACAGCCTCGCTGGCTCACACAGCTGGTGGGAGCACAGGCTGACCTCAGGCCAGCATAGTGAGATCCAAGGTCTCGGACCTGTCAGCTCTGCGTCTCTTCCGTCTATGGGCTCAGTTTCCTTGTGCATATGTGGCCTTCGTCCTCACTAGATTCCAGGCAAGAAAGATAGTTGCTAGAAATCCAGGCCTGTGTCTGAGCATCCCCAGAGTCAAACAGGAAAGAATCTCTTAGCTTCTAGGTTGTGGCCTTGTGTGGCTTACACAGTCTGCACGGGCCACTCACTGTGTCAGAGAGAGAGAGAGAGTATTTGAGTCTATCTGCCTAGGCTGTGCCCGGTCAAAGGAGGTGGAACACCAGAACTGAGGCCCCTACTGTGCCACATGGGTAGAGGAGAGTTCCTTTCCAAAGTCAGGGTGTTAAGGAGAAGTGACCCACTGAAGACCAGTAGCCTAGAAGGCTTCTGAAGGAGTCCTAAGACCCCTTCTAGAAAGCATGGCACTGTCCTGGCTAGGACTTGGAGACAGGGAAGTACAGTATCTACCTTGCAATACCTAATCTTTTTCCTTTTTCTCCCCTGATCTTTCTTTACCCTCTAATGTCAAAACAAAATGCAGTAGCCTTTTGTTGTTCAAACACTGCACACACACACACACACACACACACACACACACACACACACAGACATACTGTGTTTTTTTCATGCTAGTTAATTTGTTTGTTTGAGACAGGGTCTTGATTCATAGCCCAGGCTAGCTCAAAACTTACTATGTAGCTGAGGCTAACCTTGAATGCATGGCAGTCTTCCTGCCTCAATCTCCTGAGTGCTAAAGTTACAGATGTGAGCTATCACCCCTAGCTAGTTAATGGTTTCCATGTTTTTATTTCTTGTTTTGTCTTTTGAAGATAGGGTCGTGTACGTTCTAGGCTGGCTTCAAACTTGCTGTGCAGCTGAGACTGGCCTTGAGCTCCTGGTCCTCTGAAGTACTGGGATGTCAGGTGTGCACAGCAATGTACTGCTTATGGGTTATCTTTAATGCTCGTGTAATATTCATCTGGGTGAATAAGAATTCTGCTGTGGTAAGGGCTCCCCACATAAACTCATGAAGTCAGGACGTCTGTACATCAAATGAAGACAGGCATGTAAAGCCTAAAGACCTACAAACTGCATCCCATTAAGAAAGTGGTGGAGGAGCCGGAGAGATGGCTTGTGGGTAAGAGCGCTGGCTGCTCTTCCAGAAGACTCACCTTTGATTCCAGCACCCACATGACCACTCACAGCCATCTGAAACTCTACTTCCAGGGGATCCAGTACCCTCTTCTGGTTTCCGTGGGCATCAGGCACACAAATAGACTTGCATACCGGCAAGATACCCGTGCAGGTGACATCAAGTTAAAATAAAAAGAGACAGGAAAGTGGTGGAGCTGGCTTTAATCTGGAAATTCTGTTCCCAAAGGTGTTTATGTCTCAACGCCTCTTTACAAAAAAAAAAAGCCATTTTAAAGGGAGACACATCTGCCCATGTGTGGCATAGACCCTGGACTCTGGTGGGCGTTAGTGACTGTTCGCTGAGTGGAGAAGTAGTTCCCCTAGGGCTGACATCCAGACCCACCTGCCTGAGATCCCGGGTCAGACACTGAGGGGCAGCAGCAGTCACAGTCCTGAGGTATCTCAGAGGAAATAGGAAATCAACTAGCTAAGTAAACCTCAGCAGTGAGACTGAGTGAATCGAAACATTCGTTATCCCCCTGTTCCCCTGTGGTGAAGAAGATAGCTTTCTCCTGCTGCCCTGAGGAAAGCAGTGTGTCAGACCGTCAGCAGCACAAAAAGATGCCTTTCTTTTCCTCTCCTCTCCTCTTCCTCCTCCTCCTCCTCCTCTTCCTCCTCCTATCCTGTATGAGCTTCATTGTTCCTGAAAGCTAACAGTTGGGAGGAGCTAACATGTTCCTCTGAGAGCCCAGGGAATGCTAATTGCTAGGGCACATAGACCGCTCTCAGTGACTTCATCAATAGAAATGTCTCTCTCTTGTGTAGCCTCCTCAGTATCCTGTGCTATAAGAGGCAGTCCGGGTCCAGCTCCTTTCAGAACTGGTACTTAGGGCTTGGCACAAGCTAGAAAGCCACACTACCTTGGGCTACATTCATCTGAGGGCTCTACCGTATGGACTCTTGAACTCAAATGTACTACCTGCCTTAGGTCAGCAAAAGGGCACAGGCAGGGAGCTACCTGAGAGCCTTTATAGATGGACAGGGAAGACATACACACACACACACACACACACATACACACACATATATATATAATCTATAGGTATATCATATATATCACATATTTTGAATTATGTGTTAGTGTGACTGTCTGCATGTGTGTATGTACACGTGAGTACAGGTGTGTGCATGCAGAGGCCAGAGCTATGGAATCCCCTGGAGCTAGAGTTACAGGCAGTATGCTTGGATGCTGGAAGTCAAACCCCAGTCCTCTGCAGGAGCAGCTAAGTGTTCTTAACCATATAACTATCTCGCCAGCTCTGGAAGTTAGACTTTCGTTCACGCTGTTAGCTAGGATCCGGTCACCTGGAACTGCAGAGAGATAGATGGTCTAGCTGTGTGACCAGGGACAGATTTGGTGAGCAGCCAGCTGTCTATTTCCGAGTGATGTCAAGTGTAGCCACTGGGAAGGACGAGGCAGCAGCTTCTGTACTAATGCTGCTATCCAGAGACACTGGCTGGAGGAGGGCCTGCGCGGGAGTGATAAGTGCGCATGCGTGCGCGTTCACGTTTTCTTGTCTATGCAGCCCCGAACTCTGCAAGGACGCTGAGGAAACTGTTGCTGGTTAGGGGCAGGCAGAAGGCAGCTGGTGGAAAGGAAACCATAGTGGGAGTCTTCTTTACAGAGCTGATTTTGGAGGCTTACGAATACAGTCACTTTAAAAAGTTTACAAAGCTAAGGAGTCCATCTGCTTCTCCCAGCCAAAGGGGAAAATGGACACACACCCGGGGCTAGAAGCTGAAGAGAGGGAGGCTTCTGAACAGAGCCTTCCACACAAAGCCTGCAGAGATCTCCCCAGCCCCTTAGCAGGCTTCGGTGGAGGCTTTTTATAAAACCATGCCCTGAAGGCTTCTGGGAACAACCAGAAATAGACACTTAGCAGAGAGAGCGCAGAAACTCTCCCCTGGGCTGTAGATAAAAATCAGGACAGATCCACAGAGGAGGTAGAACCTGAGCTGCTTTCTGCACTAGCAGTTGTTGCTCTAGGGCAAAGTGGAGGGCACCGGCCGTTCGTGTGCTCCTCCTGTGTTCTCTGAGGTATCCTTGAGGACCATCTTGCCAGCGGGAGCTGCGGAGAGGCGGTTCTCAAATTTCCTAACGCTTCGACCCTTTAATCCAGTTCCTCATGTTGTGCTGACTCCCAGCCATAAAATTATTTCATTGCTACTTCATAACTGTGATTTTGCTACTGTGATGAATCATAATGTAGATGTTTCGGGAGGTAGAGGGTTGCCTGAGAGGTCACCACCCAGAGGCTGAGAACCGCTGGCCTAGAGGCTGAGAGGGTTGCTTCCCAGCCGGCTTTCAGATGAGCTGGTGAAGCCTGGCGGTTCTATCTGGGTACTCACAGACTGTGAACGCCTCCCCTCCACAGGGAGTATCTGGACAAGAGGATTGTGAAATCAAGGAGGCTACAAAGCCATGGTGGTATCCAGGCCTTTAATCCCAGCACTCAGGCAGAGGGAGAGTTTCCATGAGTTTGAGGCCAGCGTGGTCTACAGAGTGGGTTCCAGGCTGGCCAGGAGTTTATAGTGACTCTGTCTCAAAACAAAGCAAAAGCAGAAAGTGTCCAGACGAAAAGCACAGTCCTTTGGAGGTTGTTTACCCTGAAGATCGGCTCTCCAGGACAGAGGTCTTTTCTTTTTTTCTTCTCTTTGTCCTACTGGGTGTCAAATCCAGAGCCTTTTGGTGCCAGACATGCTCTCTGCTGCCACTGATTTGCACCCCAGAGATTTCTTTATTCGTTTTTTTAAATAGTTTATTTACTTTTATTTTATTTTATTTTATTTTATTTTATTTTATTTTATTTTATTTTATTTTATGTGCATTGGCGTGAGGGTATCCGATTGCCTGGAGCTGGAGTTACAGACAGTTGTGAGCTGTCAGCATGGGTGCTGGGAATTGAAACCGGGTCCTATGGAAAAGCAGTCAGTGCTCTAAACCACTGAGACACCTCCCCCCCGCCCCCAGCCACTGTCTCACCGTGTAGCCCAGGCCAGGCTTGAAGTTGCCATCACTCTGCCTCAGAATCAAGCTAGTTGGTGTGGCGCCCTATCCGGCCAGAGGCTCAGATGGGACAGCTTTGGTTTGCATCCTGCCTTCACTTCATTACTTCACGGTTGCCTCTCTGTGAGTGTCTGGTTCAGCTAAGGTCTCTGCTGTCCTCAGGGCGGCATCGACGTGAGCCGCGTGGCTGTGATGGGGCACTCCTTTGGAGGAGCTACAGCTGTCCTTGCCTTGACCCAGGAGGTCCAGTTTCGGTGAGTGCCAGTGATGCTGTGGTCCTCATGCTTCACACCTCATTCATTCATTCATTCGTTCAGCAGGGATGTGCCATGCGAGGGGTGAGTTCTGGCACTGTGAGATGGGCTGGGCTTTCAGTGGTGATGAGCAGAGCTCATCTGAGTTTGAGAGAATCTGTTCTGGGTGAGAAAAGCAACTAGCGATAAGAATCCTTACTTAGCCCCTAAATGCAATGCGGAAAGTAAACAGGCCTAGAGACGTGATGTATACACCCATATCACTGCACTCTGGAGGCTGAGGCAGGAGGATCATAGAGTTTAAGGCAAACCTAAGCAAGACTCTATTTTGTTGTTGTTGTTGTTGTTTTGGTGTTTGTTTGTTTGTTTGTTTTTCAAGACAAGAGTTTCTCTGGCTAGTCCTGGCTGTCCTGAAACTTAATCTGTAGACCAGGCTGGCCTCAAACTCGGAGATCTACTTGCATCTGCCTCCCAAGTGCTGGGGTCAAAGTTGTGTGCCACCACTACCTGACACAAGACCCTGTCTTAAAAAAATAAAATAAAGGGGCTGGAGAGATGGCTCAGTGGTTAAGAGCCCTGACTGCTCTTCCAGAGGTCCTGAGTTCAATTCCCAGCAACCACATGGTGGCTTACAACCATCTGTAATGGGATCCAATGCCCTCGCCTGGTGTGTCTGAAGACAGCTACTGTGGACTCCTAGACATAGGAGCCCTGAGCCATCTCTCCAGCCCCTAAGTAAATACATTTTTAAAAGGAAACAAAATTTAAAAAGAGCATCATTAAAGAATTTTAGGCAGAGAAAAATGAATCTTATATTTTAGAAAGCCTCCTGGCTACTGTGTGACATAGCAGGTCTACCTGAAGGCGAGATGGGTACCGACTGAGTCAGCAAAGCTAAGAGGATGAATTTGAACGAGGTGGAGGTGGAGGATGGGGATGATGGACAGAGTCAGATGCATTTGCGTTGTAAGGCTGCAGTGGTATGTAAGAACAAGAGAACAGAAAGTAGAGGCCTTATGGGTGCACCTGTCCTTGCAGTGGAAGGTGACTGTCCCCTGCTGAAATGGAGAAGACAGAGTGGGTGTGCCTCTGAGTCACAGTTTCACCCTTGGTACCAAGGATATTTGCAGGATTCTCTTCCACCAAGGCTCGGGGCTCACGTAGCATCTTGCGCATGAGAGCTTTTATACTTTCAGTCTCAGTCTCCCTCCACCCCTGCCTCGCTCTGCTGTCCTGGGATGCATGATCTCTTGCTGATCTCGTCGATCAGCGAGCTAAGCCCATCGTCGTCACGCAGTAGTCAACGAATGAGTGATTAAATGAATGAGGTGACATTCTGCAGAACTACAGAGCGTCACCTGAGGGTAGATCCAGAGGAGGACGTCTGACCCTTGCAGTGAGGGAGTATATATTCTAGAAGGCTCTTTGGGAACAAGTAAAAGGAATTCCTATGTAATATCACAGTAGGAGGGTGTGGGTCCCAGCACCCAACTCCTGGCTTGCTGAATCATTAGCCCATTGGTGAGAGAAGAGTCCCATTACAACCCCCTCCACTGTAACTAGTCTTGTCTGGGTTTCTTAGTGACGGCTCTTCTTCCTAATCCCAGGTGTGCTATAGCCTTGGACGCTTGGATGTTCCCTCTGGAATGGGACTTTTACCCCAAAGCCCGGGGCCCTGTGTTCTTTATCAACGCCGAGAAATTCCAAACAATGGACACCGTCAACTTGATGAAGAAGATATGTGCCCAACATGAGCAGTCTAGGATTGTGACTGTCCTGTAAGTGTCTCCCAAAGGCACCACCCCAATGTCCTGTTGATCTTTTCAAACAGCTAGGACCCTCTCCATTTCTTCTAGGTTATCCAGAACTTTTTATATATCCACAGAACATCTGGATATTGCCAGTATCCCTCCATTGTAATTCCTGTAGCATTTCATGTCTCTCTTCACTGCCTGGCTCCTCCTACCGAGGTTTCTTCAACAATTTGTGTGGCTTCATGATAGGATTTTCTTAGTACTTTCTGGAAAGTGTGCCGGTGCACTGGGTCTGGGTGGAGTCCAGATGGCTCTAGCCTCCTATGGGGCTTTTACTGGTTTTTGAAGACTACGGATATAGTAAGATTTGACAATTTGAGGGGATTCGTAGAATTTCCACGGATATCTGGTTCACAGAGGTCATAACACCCATTCATGCAAGCTGAGTCTGGTGATACATGTTTGTAATCCTAGCACATAGGCAGCTGAGGCAGAAGGATGGAAAGTTCAAGGCCAACCAGGGCATCAATGTGAGATCCGAATCAAATAATCTTAGATGCTGGCCAAGTAAGGCATATTCTCTTTACCTGGCACTGCCCTGTGGCTGACTTTCTGTGGGAGCCGTTTTCCCCAAAGCGTGGCCAGGTGGGAAGCAGGTGGAATTCAGGCAGGCCTGAAACCTCCCTGACCTGTGCCTGCCTCACCCAAGCCAGATAGCAGACATGCACTAGTGTCTGTGTCAGGGAGACACAACTGGCTGCTCGTCCTCGTCATACACCCAGGAACCATCAGGCAGCTGAACTGTATGCCTTGCCACGCCCCTGAGTGCCAGTTCCTGCAAGCATTGGCTTCAATGGCTTCCTCTCTTCCCCATTCTGACTTCATAATGTTGGAGGGACAGGACTGCTGGATCAGTCAGACCCAGTCACTTGTAGTCTGGAGAGAAGGGACAGGGCACACAAAGGGGACCTAACTACAGCCAATATATTCTATGGATATGGTGGCACAATCCTTTAATCCTAGCACTCTGGAGGCTGATGCAGGTGGATCTCTGTGAGTTCAAGGCCAGCCTAGTCTACATAGTGAGTTTCAAGATAGCCAGAGCTACATAGTGAGATCCTGTCTCAACTCTCCCCCCCCAATTTTTTAGATGTATTAATTTTATTATTTTATTCATATGTGTTTTCCCCACATGTACATATCTGCTGTCCATAGGAGAGGGCGTTGGATTCTTTTTTCTGTTTGTTTGAGTATCAAGACATCCTGTCTCTGTGTAATAGTCCTGGCTGTCCTGGAACTCACTCTGTAGACCAGGCTAGCCTCTAACTCACAGAGCTCTGCCCGCCTCTGCCTCCCGAGTGCAGGTGTTGAATTCTTTTTTTTTTTTTAAAATATATATTTTTTTTAATTGATGAGTATACTGTCACTGTCTTCAGACACACCAGAAGAGGGCATCCAATCTCATTACGGATGGTTGTGAGCCACCATGTAGTTGCTGGGATTTGAACTCAGGACCTCTGGAAGAGCAGTCAGTGCTCTTAACCGCTGAGCCATCTCTCCAGCCCCAGGTGTTGAATTCTTAAACCTGGAGACTTGTGAGTTACTCACTATGTGGATTCTGGGAATAGAACCGGTGTCCTCTGTAAGAACAAGGGATTTTAAGCTCTGAGCCAGCCCCAGTATATTATTTTTTAAATCTAGATCTGAATACTCAAGAAGCCAATATATTTATTATTCTACACACACTTTTCATGTGCCTTAAAGAATACATTTTGAAAATCACTTTGGGGCTGCCAAAATGGCCCAGCAGGTAAAGGCACCTACCATGAAGCTTGAGTGTGGAGCTGTGTCCCTGAGCACAGTAAATGAATAGACCTAACTCTTAAAAATCTGTTTTTCTACACACTAGATGGGTGTTTTAGCATTTATATTTTTCCATACCACATTCCTTTCAGTTATGAGTAATTCAGCTCAGTGGGAATCCAGCAAGGATTTCACGTATGAATTACATGTATTTAGAGGGCCAGGCGGATGTAATGTAATGGCGGGATCTCTGCCCAGCATGTGCAAGGCCCTGGGTCAGTCTTCACTACCACAAATGAATGGATGAATGAATGAATGAATGAATGAATGATGCATTTACAGCCAAAGGGCTTAATTCAAAACCCACTTTCCAAACATTCTCTGCTATGATTGTTGTGTTTCCTGTCCCTGTTGACTCCATGACACAGTTCTGGCAGTGAGGTTAAACGTTCCGTGGACCTTGGGGTCTCTGGATAAAAACCCATGGCATAATAGGAACAGTAGGTGTCGGGAAGCTCCCCTCCCTCTAACAAGTTCACCCTCCTTCCCTGTATTGTCAGCCATGGCGATCTAGGCATTGAGCCTGGTTTACAGCCAGGCCCACCTCAGTTCAAATCCCAGTGCTGTCTGTTGTCTCTTGTTTCCTCCTCAGATTCTGTCACAGGGGCGAATAATTCCCGGACAAGGTCGCTGGCAGAGTTAAATTGACACACAGTCAGCACTTTGCACACAGTAGGTGCTTGACGCCTGGGCTTAACCTCTACCCGCCCATGGGCGGTTTCTCTTTCTCCTCAGAGGCGCTATTCATCGGAGTCAAACTGACTTTGCCTTTGTGACCGGCAACCTGATTGCTAAATTCTTTTCCAGTAACACTCGGGGGACCCTGGACCCTTATGAAGGTCAGGAGGTCATGGTGCGGGCCATATTGGCCTTCCTGCAGAAGCACCTTGGTAAGGAGACAAGTGGGGCTGATGGAGCACGCGTCGGGTCCCGTGGGTCTCCTGCAGCACCCTGCTCTGTCCTAACATGACCAGGACCCAGGAGTATCCTGGCAAATGGAAGGCTGGCTGAAAGAGTGGTCAGCACAGCAGGCCAGAAAAATCCTTTCCTGAAGGTCTGGCCCTCTAGGCCCTGACTTACTAGGTAAATGACCTTGACCTGATCATCTAACCTTTCTGAGTCTCAGCTTTCTCACTGTGAGAATACACTCACTTCTCTTTATTCCACCACCCCGGTCTTCAAACTTACCACCTACTTCGGGTGTTTGTGGAAATAATTGGCCAAAATGTATGCGAGTTTTTTTTTTTTTTAAAGAAACCAAACATGAAGAGATAGTGACCGATATCATAAGTCACAGATAAGGTAGATGCAAAGCCTTTTGAGGTGTCTGATGTCACCTCTACCCAGAGAAGGTGTCTTCTCTGATGGACATGAAGATCGACTCCCCCCACTGGGACTTTGGATGATAGAAGTGATTGTCTAGGGGCTGGTGAGGTGGCACCGTCGTGGGGAAACAGTGCTTGTGGCCCAAGCCTGACAACCCAAGTTCAATCCCTGGAACCCACATAAAGGCAGAGGAGAGAAGGGGGCCCACAGGGCTGTCCTCAGACCCACATACACACTCTCTGTGGCGTGTGTCCACGTGTGCGCACACACAAATACTGCAAAAAGGAATTGATCTAATTAAACTTTTTTGGCCATGAAGACTAGAATTTGCTGGGCAGTGGTGGCGCACACCTTTAGTCCCAGCACTTGGGAGGCAGAGGCAGGCGGATTTCTGAGTTCGAGGCCAGCCTGGTCTACAGAGTGAGTTCCAGGACAGCCAGGGCTACACAGAGAAACCCTATCTCGGGGGAAAAAAAAAAAGGACTAGAATTTTAGTTTACCTCAAGAAAAAAAAAGTAAAAGCATGTTTATGAGGGGCGCCGACCCGGTGGGCGGCACTGCCAAGGGAGCCCGGGTCAGTTGCAGGATGGCTTTTTTTTCTCTGTGTCTCCCTCCTGTGGCTTCCTGTCTCAGCTTCTTTCTTTGAATACTCTTATTCTACCCCTGAAATGTCTGCTTGTTCAGTCTCTGCTTCCTCAGAACGTGACTTAGCTTGTGCCACTGATGGCTGGTTCTCTCTCCTTGAGGGTCCACGTCTTCCTCTCCAGAGCCCACTCTTCATAGCTGTACTTGAGGGGGTAAGCCTTGGGTGTAACAACTACTTATATATGTCTATCATGATTGTCTCTTCTCTTTCTTTCTCTCCTCTCTTCCTTCCTTCTTTCCTTCCTTTCTTCCTTCCTTTGTTTGTTTGTTTATTTATTTTTTTCAAGACAGAGTTTCTATGTGTAGTCCTAGCTGTCCCGGAACTAGCCCTGTAGACCAGGCTGTCCTAGAACTCAGAGACCCCTTGCCTCTGCCTCCCAAGTGCTGGGATTAAAGGTGTGTGCCACCATTGCCATATGATTATTTCTTGATACCAGATTCCCAAGAGAGATACTTGTGTCAGCTTATCTTTGCCGACCATAGCACATTGTTGGTCACCGATCAGCCCCAGCCTGGAGATTGTGTGGTCACAGGTCCCTTTCGATGAAGTCAGCATGAAGGAGGAAGTACTATGACCCCCGTGAAGCTGGCCCCTCACACGTCACACTTCCATCAGGAGGCGGCCAGGCTTGCTCGCACTGCTGAGGTTTGACCTCTAACCTGACGGCAAGATCAGATACCTCACCTCCCCAAAACACGCTCGCACTCGTGTGCAGACACACACACACATGCACATAAACATATACACACGCACACACATACACACATGCACATAAAAACGTACACACACGAGTACACACACACAAACACACATACATGCACATAAACACACACATATGAGTACACACACACACATGTCATGCACACACATGGATGCATGCACACAACACAATAGCTCTGCTTGTCACTCGAGCTGACCAGAATTGTCTCAGGTAGCACATGGGAGCTCATTAGGTATCTGTGGTCACCTCTAATGTCCTCTGTTCATTAACCCAGTGTCCATGGGACGTGCGGTTCCTCTTCAATCCCCCACGTAGTTTATTAGTGCCTATCTTTGGGTACAATTTGTCAGGGCTTCTTTTAAAGAGAGGTGCCTGGCTGGAACACGGTACTAGACATGGTCTGGTCAGCTCCTGGTCCAGTAGGACTCCTCTTTCCATGCTCTGGACATGTCTCTTCCCCTGGATAACCCAGTACATTCACGCTTCCCACAATGTGTGCAACCCGTTTGGGTTAGATTATGCTTATGTTTAAGATACATATGTCCTATTAAGAATGCACTAATGCTTTGAGCCAGATTGACATTTTTTGTTTATATCTCCTCATTTCACCTTGTAAATCATGAGCAAAGAGCTGTTCTGACCCATGTTTAGAGATTTGTAGGGGACTCGCAGAGATATGCCTTTTCTCCTGATCGGAAGGGATGGGCCTGTTCCCTGCTCCTCAGCCCACACCTCCTGGTTCCCCTGGGCACATAGGAGCCCAAGACTAAGGATGACAGAGGATACTAGGAGTGGTGGCACACACTTTTAATCCCTCCACTTGGGAGGCAGAGGTAGGTTGGTCTTGGTGATTTGAGGCCTGTCTGATCGACATAGAGAGTTCTAGGCCAGCCAGGGCTACATAATAAGACTGTCTCAAAAAAAAAAAAAAAGTTGAGGTGACAGATGAACCCACAATGATATGACCCTTTGGTAGCAGAGACAGCCAAGGAAGGGGAGCTACCAGCTGAGGAGCAGGTGGAAGGCAGCACTCATGACTGTAGGAATTTTGCTAATGATTCGGTCACTTATGCTAAGGCCACTGAAGCCATCAGGACTTGTCACGCTCAGTATCTTGGATACATTATCTATCATGTCTGATTCTGAAGTTCCAATAGTTCTTTTATCAGCTCCGTTTTTTAAGATGACTATCCTGAAGCTTAGAAAATTTCGGTAACCTCTAATTTTTTTCAAGGTTATCTGGTCATGGTGTTCTGCAATGCCAGCATGGAGCCTGGCTCTCTAGCTCCATGGCCCATGCCCGATGATTGGTGTGCCGAGGTGTCGTGATATACAGCAGTGTCTTCAGTTCCCAGCACCCTCATGGCCGCTAATGACTGTCTGTAGCTCTAGTTCCAGGGGATCTGATACATGCAGGCAGAGCACCAATGCACAACAAACAAACAAACACACAAATAAGGAAAAAGGGAAGGCTTTAGGTGACCTCGTAGTGCCTTGTCACACGGAGAACTAAAATGGGCCAGAGGTGGCTCAGCAGCAGCTCTCAACTCCTGCCTAACGCCTCCAGAGCACAGCGCGGCCTCCTTCCCAGTGCGATCCCTGCTTCCGTCCTGCTGACTACCCACCTCTCTGTCCCTCCCCTGCTCTCCTGGAAGAGCTCACACCTCCCCACGGCTCCAGCACCTCATCCCTCAGTCTGTCTCTCACAGAATGGCTCTGCCTCCCACTTCTCTCAAATGGAAGCCACGACACTTCCACAGCCTCCTCAGGCTTGTCTGGGTAGACCCAACTGTCCTGACCCCTAGATCTCCCTCCTCAGCTGCCCGAGAGGCCGCCATAGCCAGTCCTTAGAATATCCCAGATGCTCCTCTCTCTAGGATGCCCCACTGGCTCATGGGAACTACTCAGGCCCTGACTTTACAGTGGTTTGCCTAACCCTCCTTCCTGTTTGTGCCTATCCAGATCTGAAGGAAGACTATGATCAGTGGAGCAGCTTCATCGAAGGCGTCGGACCATCGCTCATCCAAGGGGCCCCCCACTATCTGTCCAGTCTATAGGTTGCTTGAGCTGAGTTTCCACTTAGGAGCTGCCCAAGGATACTTGTAAACTCTCAGCAGGACCCTTTTTCCCAGATCGAGAAGATGTAATCAGAGAGCTGATTGGGCAGCTGGATACTTTGCTCTTGGGATCATTGATTGTGGTTGGATCACTGGCTGATTGGGAAGCTGATTTTTTTTTTTTAAGTCAAGGACTCATGACCCAGACTGGCTCTGAGCTTATTACGTAATGAGGATGACCTTTCTGAATGACAGATACTACCACTATGCCTGGCTGTGTTCAGTGCCGGGAATCAGACCTGATGTGAGCCACTGTGCCTGACTTGATTTAAAGACTATGAAATCCTTATGTCCTGAGGACCTGTTCTCAGTAACAGTGGTCCCCACCTCTGTCCCAGGGTTGTTGGCCTTAAGTAAGAACAGAGTCTACCTGCTCAGCTGAGCTCTCTCTGGGCTTGGGCCATTTCTACTGTTCTGACCGTGCAGTTTACCATGTGGAATCCATACCAATAGGCGCCATGCCCTCTGTGCCACCATAGCCAGTCTTTTTGGCATCCAGACACGCATCTCAAGGAAAACCCACTGGATCTGTGGTACCTACTTTGGATGGACTTTACAGTAGTTTGCCTGTAAAGCTTAGGCAGACCACTATATTAACTGACTACATCCCCTACTGTTGGCAAGCTAACTTTCTTAGGATGAACCAAGAGAGTAAGTCGTAGGGTGGGACTGGCTGAGCCCCCGGCCCCAGGCGGAGCCCCATGGAGCGTGGATATGACAACTTGACTGGGCGAGCCCACTCCCTCACCTTGGGCGATTGTTGCCTTATGAAGCCAAAGGCCAGAGGGAAACCTAAGGGCTTCCAGCCCTGCCTGGTGCTCTCCACCTGCCCCCCGCCCGCAGTCTTCCCACCATATGAAATACAGTAATGGACACTTTATACTGTCATGCTTAGGAGCCCACGTGGGACAAACAGTATTGTCCTCAGAACACAGACACCAAGGAGCCCCTCAGAAGCTCACTTTCTACATATGTAAACTGAGGGCCTGTGTTACGAATGGGTGGAATGATTGAGTGGGGGATGGGTAACCCCTGGGTTATTAAATGTGCATATGTCCCACACATGTGCTTTCTAATTGTTCATATGAGGTTTCACAAGTATATCTTGTTAGGAAACATCCTGAGTAGGTTGAGTTGGGCTTGAACACTCCGGTAACATTGGAACATTCCTAGGAAGGTCTGAGGTCAGCTTTGTCTTGACTCTTACTCCAAACTTGGGTGCGTTAGTTGTCTGTCTTTCTTTCTCTTCTCTTCTTTTCTTTCTTTCTCTTTTCTTTTGGAGGCCATCCCCCAATTTGAGTCAAGAAACAGATCCAGTCTGTTTCATCCTGTTCAAATTCTGTTGAATATTGATGCTCATGTGACCTGATGGCGTGCTGTAATACCGTCTGTTTAATCGACATTAGAGCAAGTTGGAGAACCATCTGCAAGTGACTTTTCTGATTTCCTTTGTTTGCTAATCACGTGTGCCCACATGGAAAAAAATGAAGTCTTCCCAGAGTTCCAAGCTCAGTGGGAAGGCCTACCAAGGACTATCTCTCTGCCATACAGATGTCACCCGAGTCCAAAGAGGGAAGAACCCTGAAGGGGCTAGTACAGAATGGAAATGTATCTCTGCACAGTAGTCCTAGGTCAGGGCCGCCAAAGCAATCCAGACAGACGAGCACACACCAGGAGGCTCCTCAGGCACGGCTCTGCAGCTGCACAGCTGGGCTTGGAGTCCTGGCTCCACCACTGTGGAAATCGGAGCAAATTCTGTTGTCTTCCCCACCTCACTTTCTATGTATGTAAACTGAGGGCCTGTGTTACGAATGGGTGGAATGATTGAGTGGGGGGATGGGTAACCCCTGGGTTATTAATGTGCATTTCCCATGTCCCACACATGTGCTTTCTAATTGTTCATATGTTAGATGTTTCCTAGTCAGAATGCCCCATGTGATCTCTGCCCTTCAAGATTTGTCGAAATGTGATTGTTGGCCCACTCGCTGTATGATTAAAAAGTCTATCTAGTCTGAAGTCGCTGGCTGGCTATCTTCTTCCATAACCCATGGAATTTCTTCCCAAGAGAGCACATACTAGTTTAAAATAGGATCCTCTAGCCCCCCACATGGGGACCAGAGTCCCCAGATCCCCACAGAAGATGCTACCTTGGGCTGGCCCTGGAAACCCAAGCACCTGTGAGCTCACTTTTACCTAAGACCCCAAAATGATACAGATGTGACGCTGTGATGATGTTCAGGGCCTTCTGAGACAGGACCCCTCTCCGCTCAGCTCTTTCTGCTAGTGGTCCACATGTCCAGTAGCACCACACCAGAGGGATCTACTCTCTAACAGAATTATTCACTAAGTCACAGAAGCCATTGCCTCTGAAATGGTTGTCTGCATAAAAACCCACACATGCTGGACAGGTGGTGGCACATAGCTTTGAGCCCAGGTGGATCTCTGTGAGTTTGAGGCTAGGCTGGTCTACAGAGGGAGTTGCAGGACAGCCAGAACTACACAGAGAAATCCTGTCTTGAAAAAAATTATCATTTTATGCTAATTTAGTGTGTGACTTTTTATTTTTCATTTGTGAAACAATCCTCTCTCTTTTTTGGTGGTGGTTGTTGTTTTGGTTGTTTTGAGACAGGATTTTTCTGTGTAGCCCTGTGTGTCCTGGAACTTGCTGTGTAAGCCAAGCCGGCTCTGCAATTTTAGAGATCCACCTGCCTCTGCCTCCCAAGCACAGGACTTAAAGCCATGTGCCACCACTGCCTGGCAAGAATTTTTTTTTTTTTTTTACCTCATATGGTTGTTCTAGTTTCACATGTTAAGTTCCTGGTGGCTACTGAGGACTCAGAAAACAGTAGCTATTACCCGTTGTCCCATTTACCGTTCCGTAGCTACTAGGCTAGGTGTCACTTTTCCTTTCTCTAAATAGCCAGGGAAGTCTTGGTTTAAATTCTCATTCTGGTGGGGTGCCTGCCAGAGTGCAGGAGGCCCTGTGCTCCATCCACAGCACCTCCAAAGACAAGCCAAAGTCCCTTCTCATTCTAATCTCTCCTCAAACGAAGCCTTCCCTTACCTCAGCCACTGTGTCCTCCACCAGAGTGAAGCTATGAGAATAGAGACACCCGCCCATTGGCTTTGCTCTGATTTATTGGTTCTCATATCAGAAATCAAAATTCATAGTGCCTCTGTAACCCTGCAGGCCACTGACTACCCAGTAGTCTACACTAGTGGACTGATTTGGGTTTTAATTTCACATTCAATCACCCAAACACGAGCATAGGTTCTAAAACATCAGATGGTCAGCGGGAAGGATGGATCTGTGGTTAAGAAAATCTACTGCTCTTATGGAGGACCGTGGACTAGCCTCTCAGTCAACTGCATTCTGCTGCCAGATCTGTCTGAAATGTGGTCTTTGTGTCAAAAATCCCAGCCTGACAAGGTGGGCTGTCTAGTGGAGAGAACAAACCAGTCTGTTGGAAGCCCTAGGTTTTTGGTTAGTTTTTTTTAGAAGTTATTAGTATGTGTGGATTATACACTATAATAGATCACATTGGGACATTTTCTTTTGTTGTTTTTAATTTTTTCTTTTGAAACAGGTCTTCTCTGTGATTCATCATCATCATCATTAATTTGTTCATGTGTTACGTGTTTGGAAATCCCGCATACATGCAGGCTTCCGCAGAGGCCAGAAGAGAGCATCTGGTCCTCTAGAACTGGAGTTACAGATAGTTGCAAGCCACCATGTGGGTGCTGGGAATTGAACCTGGGTCCTCTACAAGAGCAGTCCATGCTCTTAATTGCTGAGCCATTGTGCCAGCTTCCTCATTATAACATTTTCATATGAATATAAAGTATACTTTTTCAACTAACTGGACCCCCAGAGCTCCCAAGGACTAAACCACCAGCCAAAGAGTACACACGGACATGGATGGGTCCATGGCTCCAGCTGCATGTGGAGCAGAGGATGGCTTTATCTGGCATCAACGAGAGGGGAGGCGCTTGGTCCCATGGAGGCTTGATGCTCCAGCGTAGCGGGATGCTAGAGCGGTGAGGCAGGAAAGTATGGGTGGGTGGAGGAGCACCCTCTTAGAGACAAAGGGGAGGAGGGATGGGGGTTTGTGGAGGTAAGACAAGGAAGGGAGACAACATTTGAAATGTAAATAAATAAATAACCATATATATATATACATATATACTTTTATCAGTCACCCCCAAATATCCCCCTACTTTTGATTTCTTTGCTCTTCCCAACTAGTCCTCTCTCAGTATTGATGGTGCACATGTGTGTGTGCATGTATGTGTGCATGTGTGTGTGTATGCCTGTGGATACATATTATTTGTGTACATGTGCTTGTGTATATGTGTGTGTATGTCTGTGGATATATCTTGGTTGTGTGCATGTGTATATGTGTACGTATGTCTGCGAATACATATTGTTTGTGTGCATGTCCGTGTGCTCATGCGTGCATATTGCATGTGTGCATATATATATGTGTGTGTGTGTGTGTGTGTGTCCAGGCATGCATGTTATGTGTGTGCAAATGTGCATGTGTGTCCTGTCTCAGTGACTTTACTGATCCCTTACAGAAGCACTGGTAAGGAACAGTCATTTCCAAGAGCATGGACAGGCTATCTGTGGCTACACCACTGAAGAAAACATCTCCCTAGATTTTTGTGGAGGCACAGGCTTTCACAAGCCCCTTCCCAGATCCCTGGGTTCTTGTTCAGTCCCTTGTCACCCTCTCTCACTGACTGCCCTGGGGTGTATGCTTCTCTGTTGATTCCAGCCTTCCTCTCTGTGTACGAGGATGTAGGGAAGCAGTTGTTGACTTGGCTCGTGTCTGAGGCCCCTTCAGTCCAGTCTCTCGATGCTGACAGTATACAGGGTGCCTCCCTTTCCCATAGAGTCACATGGTATTTCTTCCCTGTCTGCTCTCCCCAGCTTCTTGCATCTTTCCAGTCCCTAGCCCTTCCTCGGGGTGCTTGGCTGACCTCCAGGCCCCGTTTCCATGCATCTCAACACCACTAACGCCTCAGTCTGGGCTTCTGCTTCCAGCCAGTCTTCCTCTTCAATGAAGTGTCTTGATTGCGTTCAGTTAACATTTGATCTCTCAGCCTCCCGCTCCCGGGAGAGCTGCGGTCTGGACGGTATTGAATGTTACACTTTATTACGTGATTCCAGGGCCCATCTGTTGGAGGGGAAAGAGCATCCTCCTGTTGACTGACATGCGAAGCAGGAATCCTGCCCTTTGCCCCCTATCAGCTTCTGGTTCCCTATCCAGACGTGCAACCAGCTGGTGCTGGCCCGGCTCTCTGATGTCTCCAGCAGCTGCCCCTCTTCCTTGTCTTCCAGCCCTCCCCACATCCCAGCTGCGGGGCCAGGGCAGAGCCGGAGACAGCCCGGGCCTCACAAGACTTCGGGAGGCCACAGACAAGGAGTATTTGGGAACTAGAAGGAGGGCAGAGCTGACAACAAATCACACCACTCTCAAAAACGAGGGGAAGCAGTTTGCCAGCTTCTGTTTCCCATCTTGCTCTCATCTAAAAAAAGCTGCCTAGAGACACGGGCCTCCTCGAGCTGTGAAGCCAGATGGCCCCGAGATGCTCAGCTTGCCCTGTGCGCATGCGTAATTATTCATCTTCACAGAATCACGCCCAAGACTGATTTCAGACACAGACACTTTCTTTTGCTGTTTGATCTGGAGCCAGTGGGCCCTCCTGAGCTTTTGTTTCTTCTTCAGTAAAATGGGGTTACTCGAGCGGGTCTTGCCCACCTCGAGGTGTTTTTGCTGGGACTGGATAGCTAATGAAAATGTAATGGCCTTTGCCATCTACAAAGCACTAGACAGACAGACACAAGTTGCGGTTCACAATAAGGTGCGCCGAATTTTTCATTTGCTGGGATGAACCACTACTTAGTAAGTACTTCGCTTCTGTACCAGGTGCTTCTGTGCTAAGTGCTTTTTGGACACCGCACCATTTAAGCCTAACCTCATTCATTCCCATAAGGCACTGCATTTATTCCCATTGTTTAGATCAAGAAGGTGAAACTTGGAGATTTACTGGGCCAGCCAAGACACCAGCATCTAGGGGGAGGGGACCAGCATTTGAACCTAGAATGTGGGCTCCGACGCCAGTGCTTTAGTTCCTAACCATCCCCATTCTTCAAAAAGAAAGAGGTTCTGAGACCGGGTCAGTAAAGTACCAACTGTGCAAGCATGAGGTCCTGAGTTCGGATCCCCAGCACCCATGTACAGGTCAAATATGGGGGTCCATGTCTGCATCCCGGGTGCCTAGGCAGAGAAGGTGGAGCCCAGGATTACTGGCCAGGCAGCCTAGCAAGTGTATGTGCTTATGGGCTCAAGGAGAGACACTGTCTTAAACAAATGCAATGAAGCTCAACAGAGGAAAAGATACTGCATCAGCCTCTAGGGTACTCATAACATACATACGTGTGTATGCGTCTACACACACACATACATGTGCCACACACATAAACACAGAGTTACATAAGGAAATAAAATAGTCTCCTGTATCAGCTGAAATTACCCACACTCTCTTCTCCAGCTAAATGCATCACCCAGTCTGTTCATACGAAGAGATGTTTCTGTTGAAAACACCACTAGGTCTAGGCAGTAAAAACCTGCACTTTGAGCAGCAGTAAAAGACAGGTTTCATCCATCTGTCACCTGTCCATCCATCCATCCATCCATCCATCCACCTGACATAATAGGAGTGTCTCCATATTCTGCGGAGCCATTAGCTGAGGGAAACACTACTTAGACTTGCTTGGAAATTAGTGATCTCACAATTCCGATTACTATGCCCTAGACTTACGTGGGAACTGTGGACAGAGATGCTAAGGATTCATTTGGGGTTCTGGAGATGCTGGTCCCAGAGGATCCGAGGTGGGCCCAGATGGATGGGATATGCTGACACTCAGCTGAGGTCAAGACCCTTTGCAGTGACTCATGCCAGTTGGCATCATTTTAGGGAGTAAAGGGAAGTCCTAGAACTCAGAACGA